GAACCAGCACATACGCTAGGCCACAAAAATCTCTTGTGCCGAGCAAGCATAGAATTGAATACAATATGGGAAACAGTAATAAGTAGCGCGAGAGAAAAGCGATGAATAACAACCCAAAAATTGCAATATAAGCTCTGTTAAAAAATATAAAATAATAATAATAACAGAAAAAATTGTAATATGAGCACTGGTAAAAAAATCGGTTGCTGAGTCATTAGGCTTATAATCCCAGAAATTCATGCACAAATTTTCTGAAGGCTCAGTGAATAAAGACGTTGGCTAGATCCAGGGACTAGATCTAAAGATTTGTGAGTTCAATACCAGAAGTGGTGAACGAAAAAAAAATGGAGCCGAATGACATGGAAATAACTGAGACATCCGAAAGAGGCATGGCCCGTGGAACTAGAACAATCTATCCCGGTGGATGAAATAAAGGGTACGGTTCGAAATTTCAGTCATCTGAAGAAGGCCGGAACATACAACGGCTGGAATGCCATCAGTATAAATCAAAAGAAGGGACAGCGGTCCGGATAGTGTACTTTGTTTTTCATTACTTCTTTTTTTAAATCGGTTTAATTTCTCTGAACTGAAATATGTAAAATGAATTAATATTTTTAAAAAAGTTCTTAAAAATTTCTTGTTTGGTAATATTTTAATCGGATTGATTTAAAACTGCTACAATTTATCAGTATGTGTTTTATACTGAATGGCTTTTGCCATGTGGCACATATCGGAGGATATTCCTTCTTTTTCGGATATGCGAAAGAATTATGTCAGTACAGTGCTGTTCGATAAAAGTGACTCACCTTATCCTTTGAATTTAGCTCAACTTTCATTTCATCGGTGGAGAGAACATTCTTCCAGTCTTCTACGATGAAATTCTTGTAATAGTGAGCCCATTCAAGTCTCTTGGCTTTGCTTATTAGCGGCTTCGTGTACAAGATTTGTAGCCTTGTTCTAACAGCCACCGATGGACTGTTGAAGAGGCAAGATTAACACCTTGCTCTTCGCTTAGACTGGCTGCAATTTCTTGGCTAGTTATAGTCCTATTCTTCGCAACTTCTCTCTTGATTACCCTGCCAGTTCTATCATCAATCTTTTTCTTTCGTCCCCTTGTTTCCTTCCTTGGAGCAGGAGTGGCATCATTATGTGCCCTAAGCACTCGAGAGACAGTTGATTGCGAGGTTATAGCAATTTCTGCAATTTCTCTCGTAGACTTGCCTGCTTTTGAGAGGGCAATAATAGATGCCTTAAGTGGTTCTGATGCGTGTTTGTACCCTTTCATCTGGTTAGTGACTTGAGTGGCTATTTCAAGCTGTTTTTATACTGTATGAGGCTTTCTGGAATATTCTAGAATACCCTAGATTTAATTTAAGCTGTTCTAGAATTCAATAGAATATTGTTCTGCGTGTCTTGTAAAATAGTTTTCAATATTTTGTCAAAAGCTCTTTAAATTTACCAGTTTAATCATTAGAATGCGATATCCGAGTCAGTTTTTTTCCTGAATCTCATTTATATCCAAATTTATAATTATCAATAGAATACCTTAGGGTGAATAAACTTTTTTACTCGGTGGTCGGGAAGGAGTCTTTATATTAGTAAGATTAAAAATTATTTTAACCCCATAAACAAAAAATATTTTTAGTAAAACAAATCAGATGAGTCACTTTTATCGAACAGCACTGTATGTCCAGTACAAAGTCTGTATATAATCATTTCTTCTCTTCTCCCCCAAAACTGCATGAACGATTTTGAACATTGTCAAAGATGGAAAGACAGGATCGACCAGCTCCAGCCCAGATATGGCAACCATATACCATTTTTCGTCTAATCTGACTCTTGTAAAGATAAACCATAGCAGAAGGTATCAGATACTTTCTAGAGCGGCAGGATTAACCTTTGCATCTATCTTGTAGAAGAATCTTTCTTGCAAAATCGATTATACTCAAATCTATTCCCTCTTTGATGATGTATACTTACATCTTTCTTCGTCTGTCTCTCTTCCTGCCCCCTTGTACTATGCTCTACCGAAGCATCTTCGCAATTTCGTGATATAGGCCTATAACATGCACTTCGACTTACGCTTCCAGATGACAGTGAGAAGGTCATCACGAATCCCAATGGTTTTATTAATATTCTAACTGAATTTTACGTTGATGAAATGGAGCATTGTACCATTTAATATTCCTCCGTAGATTCTAATTCCTTGGACTTGATGTCCTCTCCAAAGTTCACTCGTGAGAATTCGTGACTCGCATACATATCAATGATGGGTCGATGTTGAATCAATTAGATTCAATATTCTCGTATATAACTGCAAAACCAAAAAGTATTTTCCTTCCGAACGAAAGATGTTTAAGAACGATAAAAATGATTTAAGAACAATAAATATAATTCAAAACAATTAAAATCATTTAAAAGTGTTAAATGTATTTGAAAACAATTAAAATGATTTAAGAATTATAAAATGATTTAACAATAAATATAATTAAAAACAATTAAAATCATTTAAAAGTGTTAAATGTATTTGAAAACAATTAAAATGATTTAAGAATGATAGAATGATTTAACAATAAATATAATTCAAAACAATTCAAATCATTTAAAAGTGTTAAATGTATTTGAAAACAATTAAAATGATTTAAGAATTATAAAATTATTTAACAATACATATAATTCAAAACAATTCAAATCATTTAAAAGTGTTAAATGTATTTGAAAACAATTAAAATGATTTAAGAATTATAAAATGATTTAACAATAAATATAATTCAAAACAATTAAAATCATTTAAAAGTGTTAAATGCATTTGAAAACAATTAAAATGATTTAAGAATTATAAAATGATTTAACAATAAATATAATTCAAAATAATTAAAATCATTTAAAAGTGTTAAATGTATTTGGAAACAATAAAAACGATTTAAAAAAATAAATATAATTTAAAAACAAATGATTTAAAAGTGATAAATATATTTGAAAACTATAAAAATCATTTCAAAACGATCCTTTTTAAATCCATTTTATTGTTTACAAATACATTTATCAGGTTTAAATGATTTTAATTGTTTCAAATTATATTTATCGTTCTTAAATCATTTTATCGTTGTTAAAACATTTTTATTGTTTTCAAATATATTTATTACTCGTAAATCATTTGTCGTGAATTATAATTACTGTTCTTAAATCGTTTTTATTGTTTTCAAATACATTTAGCACATTTCAATCATTCGTTTTGAATTATATTTATTGTTTTAAATCGTTTTATTGTTTTTACATAAATTTATCACTTTTAAATGATTTTAATTGTTTTGAATTATTTTGTGAAAGTGATCAATTTTGGAAACGTCAGTGATTTACACTGTCGAAAATAAGCTTAAGATCGATGGTTAACGTTTTATTCATTTCAGAATATGCTTTTAATAAAACAATATAAATTAGGTTTATTGGGTACGCTTTATACAGAATTTATTTCTCTTTTGGATGATGTAAAAAGTGTATATTTTTCTAGTACATGGAAAATTTTAATTCTGGATTAATTTAAATTATCCAAATTTGCCTGCAAAATAAGTTTAAGACCGTATGGGTATTATTATATTAAAAGCAAAAAGTTATAGTGAAAAGGAGCAAAAAAAGAAAACAAAAAAAAAGTATTTATCAATATTTCGTAACCTTTATTATTAATTACAGCTTCACATCGCCTAGGCATCGAGTTTGATAAGTGAGCACAAAAATCATTTGGAATGCTCTGCCATATTTGCTTAATATAATCGTATAATTGCGCTAAATTTGTCGGTTTTTTAGCTTGAACTGTTTTAGAAATATAATTCCAGAAGTTTTCAATCTGATTAAGATCAGGACTCTGTGGAGGCAACTCAATGACATCCATATTATGGTGATCAAAAAATTGCATTACTTTTTTGGCTTTGTGAATTGGGCTATTATCTTGTTGATAAATAGTTCCAGGTGGCATTTGGTCCGTCAAATATGGCAGAACATAACGAGCTTCATATAGCCTACACTGTTGAGTTTTGCATCAACTTTAACAATTGGATCAATACCAAAGCTACTAAACCCACCCCACATCATTACACCGCCACCTCCCGCTTGCGCCGTCTTCTTGACAGATTTAGGATCCGATCCAAAGATGCAAAAGCGTGACTCACCACTCCAAAGAACTCTACATCAGTCGTCGACCGTCTATTGAATGCGACTTTTTGCGAAATTCAGCTTCTTGAGTCGATTCCTCTCTGAAATAATTGGCTTTTTTTTTTCTAGAAGAGCACTCGAATAATCCAAATTCTCTGAGACGGTTTTGGACAGTTTGAGGTGTAAAATTAATGCCAGTTTTACCAGATAATTGGCTGCATATGTCCACGGCCTTCTGCATTCAGTTAGCTTGGGAAAGCCTATGAATTCATTAACCAGTTGCACTGTTGTTGTTTTTTGGAGGAGCGCCCGATCTTTGCCTATCCTTATATTGTCCAGTGTCCTGGTAAAGCTTCCAAGCCTGAACAGAGGCCATTTTGCTGCACTTTAATTGCTTGCTTATGTTCGATTTGTTGATAACGTAACACTATTTTTGATCTAGTCATTGGGATAAGACTACGACGTTTTCCTATAGCGAATTAATTGCATCACAATGGTCAGTTATTACACAATATAATGCATTAGTGACCAGCCATGCGACCACCCATTTAGCAAATAATTTGCATAATACCCATGCAGTATTAAACTTATTTTGTCGGCAAATTTGGATAATTTAAATTAACCTAGCATGAACATTTTTCAAGTTGTGGAAAAATAAACAATTTTTACATCATTCAAAAGAAAAATAAATCCTGCATAAAGTGTACACAATAAAATTAATTTATATTGTTTTATTAGAAACTTATTCTGAAATGAATAAAACTTTAAGCATCGGGTCTTAAACTTATTTTCGCCAGTGTACGTGCGAACACAACCATTGACGGCTTTTGAACAGTTCCGTGTAGCCAATTAAACTCACGTTGAAACACCGGTTTCCGTAGGCTCACCGAAGTTAAGCAACGTCGATCCTGGTCAGTACCTAGATGGGTGACCCTTCGGGAATACCAGGTGCTATAGGCTTGAATGTGCGTGTGGATGGCTGTTGTGTAGAAAGACGACCGACCTACTCTACCCTAATTGTTGAACTTGGACTCTTCCATCCAGGATAAGTAGACCGTCTGCTCATAGGAACGGTCGTCGTGAAGTGGGTCAGTCAGTCGACTGGCTGACCGGTTGAACTCTCTGCCTTCGGGCGGGGAGGAACCCGAACGAGGCTACGCCGAAGGGCGGATTCTCTTTCGGGGAGGTAAACCGACCCTGAACCCGTTTATACGGGTTCAATGGGCATATTTTTGGCTGAGCCCACGGGCTCGGAGAGCCCACGTTAAAAAGGCCTTGTGCCACATGACGCCCTCGTTTGACTGAATATCGTCGTAAAGTGGGTTCGGTCAGTCAGTCGACTGGCTGATCGGTTGAACTCTCGGCCTTCGGGCGGGGAGGAACCCGAAGGAGGCTACGCCGAAGGAGGCTACGCCGAAGGAGGCTACGCCGAAGGGCGGATTCTCTTTTGGGGAGGTAAACCGACCTTGAACCCGTTTATTCGGGTTCAATAGGCATATTTTTGGCCGAGCCCACGGGCTCGGAGATCCCACGGGCTCGGAGATCCCACGTTAAACCGGCCTTGTGCCACATGATGCGCTCGTGTGTGTGGGGGGGTGGAGGTAACTAAATATCGTCGTAAAGTGGGTCACAAGTCGTAGCGTCTGAGACGTACGCATTGCCGCAATGAACTACGCTCTTCCTAGCTACTGTAATGTCTATCACTGTTTAATCCATGTCTCTCTGTTCTTCACTCAACCTTTTGTTCCAGAGATTTATTCTAGTATTATTAACCAGAATTACGAGTGTTATATGAACTTTATAACAGTGTCAAGATTTGAAACAAGAGATTGATTGCACTTTTTCAGAGACCTAACAAATAAGTGCATTTTCTTTTTGTTGTGGGCGCCTTTGCAACTCTGATTGACAAAATCCAAAAAAATGTCATGGTAAAATTGGGATTGGGATTCGAACTCAGACTCTTTAGAAAACCACAAATTTTAAGAAAAACTTTGTCATTTGTTATGACACACTGTGAATCGTTAAATTACGGCAAAAGATTTGCTTGAGAAAAGGCGGATAATAATAATAATAATAATAATGGCTTCTAATCTTTATTGACTAGAGGTGTAAACATACACATCCTTATGCAAATTAATTGAAACAAAACGATAATTATTATTATTATTTACTTTTTTTCCGTATTTTTCCAAGGAAACATGGCCCAGTACACATGTTAGTACTTCGTATGTCTATTCCTTGCAGATTGACCACAAATTCTCAATTAGATTTAAATCAGGAGAGTTTCCGGGCCAGTCTATAGTACTTTAATTTGCTCACTGGTAAGGTCTGTAATAATAATAATAATAATGGTAGTTGAAAAAGAAAATGGAGAAGAAAGATCTCTGTTGTGTAGAAAGACGACCGACCTACTCTACCCTAATTGTTGAACTTGGACTCTTCCATCCGTCTGCTCGTATGAACGGTCGTCGCAAAGGGAGTCGCATTGCGTAGCGTTTGAGTCGCACGCATTGCCGCACTGAACTGCAGTATTCTCTGTCACTGTACTGTCTATTACTGTTTAATCCATATCTCTCATAGGATTAAACCCGTTCTTCACTAACCTTTTCTTACAGAGTTTCCTTACAGTATTATTGACCAGAACTACGAGCCTTATACAAACTTTATAACAGGACTCTATTGAATATTTGTCGTTCGGAACGAGTAAGGTTTATAAATTGACGTTTCGAAATCGGTTACTTATTTTTATTTACCTACATTACCTATTCAGGTCTAATTTCGATAAGAGCAATTATTCATAAGGCCATGGCGTCATTCAAAAGAGTCCAATAGTAAAAATTTATTACAAGATTTGAAATTCTCATGTGGACTCTTTTTTTCGTGTCGCAGGAACGACCCTGGGGTTAGAGTTGACAGTCAATCAAATATTTTGCGAAAAGCTCAAGAAAGTTTTCTTTATATCTCTCTCAATCTCTAGAAATCACCTTCTCCTCCCTCCTCCCTCCCTCGTTCACTCACTCACTCACTCACTCACTCTCCATTTCACTCGCTCACTCATTCATTCACTCACTCACTCACCCACCTTTTCAGTCACTCCCACTCTCTCTCTCTCTCTTTCCCTGTTACGCACACACTCTCACTTTTTCTTGCTCAGTCTATATCTTTCACTCTTATGGAAAAATGATATTTTGTTGACTCTAGAAAGACAACACGTCGTGTCAAAAGTAATTGTCAAATTTTTATTCGTCTCAAGATTTCATATATATTACGACTCTATTCTTTTTGCGTCCTGGGTAAGACGATGAACTGCATCCGGCATCAAAGCCTCTGATCAGGTGGTTTTGAGGAGCATGGATTCATCTCTTAATTGCTGGTGTTTCCAGGTCCACCTTGACCCGGGGTGGTAGCACCTGTTAGGGCCGCAGCTATGAGCAAATACTTAACCCACAAACTGGGGTTAAAACGCCACGAAAGTGTAAAAATGGGTTTTTACCATCAATACATTTTTGTAAAAATATTATCAGCAATGAATTTTTGAAGAAAAATATTATTACCAGCAATACGTTTTTGAAGGAAGAAATATTATCAGCAATACATTTTTGGAAAAAAAAATACATATATATATATATATATATATATATATATATATATATATATATATATATGTTACAAGCAATACATTTTGAAAAATAAAATATATTGCCAGCAATACATTTTTGAGAAAAAATATTGACAGCAATACATTTTTGAAGGAAAAATTATTACCAACAATACATTTTTGAAAAAAAAAAATTAATTGCAATAAAAAGTTTGATATGCCGTAAAACAAAACAAAACAAACCAATCCTCTCTATTCTTATATATAAAAATCATAAATGTATCTTATTTTTGTAATGCTGCCATGTTTTATTTATACGTGGAGACACTGTTTCCTTTCCCATTGTTAATTCGGCCATCATAACATACGAAATGGCATCTCACTGCCGACTGAGTAACCCCAGGAAAGAGTATATGTTCACCGGTTGTATAAAGGCTACGCAACCGGTTTGAATATATTCCGAAAAAAAAAACTGTATTTTGTTTTTATGTATTATATGAATGAAATTGGGATTGGCTTATCAACTCTTTGTGGGTTATTTAAAACAGTAACATATTTTGGATTGTAAGAGAAATTGAAGATAAGGATGATTTTTTCCAGATACAAGATACTATTTAACCCATAGCTCAAGGTGAGAGAGAAGAGATGTTTTCATAATTTTCCCAAGGGCATTTGCGCGTAAGTGAATTTAACGAACTTGACTGGAATTCGAACTCGGCCCTCCAATTTCTCTTTCCATACCGTTATCCATCGAGCCACAAGCACATCCTCAAACTCCTGCTATTAAGCATAAAAGAAACAGCTAAATGTTAGGGAGGACGGCGCATCGTTATATTGTCTAAATGTTTTATAAGCCCTTATTGCCACCTGATTTGAATATATTTGTCCTATTATACAGAAGCACAGATATATTTTTTTTTAATTATCCCCCCTCCCCAAAAGCAAGGTGATAATTCCAGTGAGACACAGGGGGATATTGGGGGCAGAAGAGAATAAGAAGACTTTAGTGAGGAGAAAAGATAAGAAAAGAAAAAAGATAAAAAAAGAAAAGAATAAATTCCATGAAGACATAAGATGGCGGTTGATTTTTTTTTTCGTCTGTCTTCTTGAATCTTAATTTTATGTTTATTGTTTTCTCTCCTCAATTTTTTTTCTCAAATTCTTTCACTCTCAGTAACCCAGTGTCTTGCTAGCTTTGTCGTTTTACTTTAGATGAAATGTTTAAAAAAAAAATAACGTTAATGATGAATCTATTTTCCAAACTTGAATTATCACTTTCAAGCGAAGCAGAGCTCTCGACTAAACAAACAATAAAACATTTTTTTTATAAAAAAAAAGCTCAGTAAATTTCAAAACCTTTTTCAACGATACCCTTAACTTTGTGCAGAATTTATCGCTGGGAAGTTCTGCATCAGTGTAATATTTATTTGCACTGTCTTGGCTTTCAGTTTTATTTATTCTAGTTGTTATTCGTCAGAAAATTGCATTTTTTGTTAATTGTCCCACATTTACAAACTTCAGGCGAGATCAAATGCCTGAGAAGAAACATAACTAGGTTCGCATATAATCTTCCTTGCTGCAATTTTCAATGCGAAACAAACATCAGACACCAGCACTAATTACAGCTTCAAGATACGAATAATAAGCGGCACAAATCAAATTCTTTGATGTCTACATTATAAAGAAGATTATTGTATTTAATTTGGGTTTTTATTCAAATATATTCATGATATAAAAATAAATTTTTCACCAAGGTATACGGCCATTAAGTAATTGCTGATACTGTTTTGGTAAGGATAGGGGAGGATGTGCTATCAGAATAAAAAACTGGGGGAAAATAACGTAATTATAAATAAATATATGACGACAGGGAGGGTTTTTTTTTGGTGGGGTACGAATATATACCGTAGAACTTGGCTAGACGAGATCTTATAAAATATATCAGTGTTCGGAAAGTAATTACGTATTTCATTGCTATGAATTTTCACAAGATTGTCTTTAAATATATTTTTTTACATATTAAAATATATTAGTAATAGGGGGATCAATTTGTTACTTGATAACAATAGACAACTGACCCCCACTTTATGTCCAATAGAATCATATTAATTTTACTTTACTCGTGCTGTTAAAAATGAATCCTTACTATTACTAGTTTTTCATATATTTTTTTCTAATTCTTACTTTTGTATTTATCTTTGACAGAGTTCATATTATCACCTCCTGGCGCTGTAAATACATTAGAATCCCTAAAAATCGGACTAAGAAGGCCTTCTGGATATGAGAAATTGTTTACAAAGTCCAGATATAAGGGGTTATATTTAGATTAAAATAAAAGAACTGAAATCAGGTTTAACAT